ACATCCCTAAAATCCTCTCCCAACGCCAGGATGGGAATGAAACCTCGGCTCCAAATCCCAAATAATCCCCACCCCAAATAATCCCCACCCCAAATAATCCCCATCCCAAATAATCCCCATCCCAAATAATCCTCATCCCAAATAATCCCCATCCCAAATAATCCCCATCCCAAATAATCCCCGTCCCAAATAATCCCCGTCCCAAATAATCCCCGTCCCAAATAATCCCCATCCCAAATAATCCCCATCCCAAATAATCCCCATCCCAAATAATCCTCATCCCTCATCCCACGGAATCCATCCCAGGGAATCCATCCCAGGGAATCCATCCCAGGGAATCCATCCCAAGGAATCCATCCCAGGGAATCCATCCCAATGAATCCATCCCAGGGAATCCATCCCAGGGAATCCATCCCAGGGAATCCATCCCAGGGAATCCATCCCAATGAATCCATCCCAGGGAATCCATCCCAAGGAATCCATCCCAGGGAATCCATCCCAGGGAATCCATCCCAGGAACCCTGGAAATTGGGAATGCCGAGGGAATTCAGGATTGAGCAGAGCCAGGAAAGAGCCCAAATCCCTCAGAATTCCACAGCCAGGCCTCAAATCCACCAGGACCTGGGATGAGGGTGGAGAAGGGATGGGGATTTCCATGGGGAAACGGTCCAGCTTGGATTCTTGGGAATATTTCCCCATGGAAAAGGCGGTCAGGTGTTGGATGGGGCAGAGCCCTCATTCCCAGGAATTATCCCAAAAACTCCTGGAAGCGGCGCCTGGGGGAGGGGATTTGGTGGGACCAGGGGGCTTTTCCAGCCGGGACAATTCCCCATCCCTGGAAGTGATCCCTGAATTCCAGCTGGGAACAACCTGGGACAGTGGGAAGTCCCAAGATCCCGAAGACCTTTAAGGATCTTTCCAGGATTCCCTGTCCTGCTTTAACAGGATTTTAGGGATAAACCCCTCCCTACCCCAGCTTACTCCATGGATTCCCTGGAATCACCCAGGCTGGAGCCTGGGCTGGTGGGATCCATCCCTACCCCAGCAATTCCACAATCCCTCCCTGCGGATCCCCCTCCATTCCCACTTTTCCTCCCCGAATCCCGCGGAATTCCGGGCTCACCGAAGGAGTGGTTGATGACCTCGAAGAGGGCGAAGTAGTTGGCGGTGACGCTGTCCATGCCCACCTTGGCAGCCACCGCCTGGAAAACGCCGGGAAAACGGGATCAGCCTTCCCGGGAATTCCCTGACCACGGAAAACCCGGTTGGAATTCTGCCAGGAATTCTTCATTTCCCGTTTCGCTCCCCCCCCAACCCATTCCCGGGGATTTCCAGGTTCTGGGGGTTCCACGATTCCAGCCTGGATTCCCGAGGGAAAAGGAGTGGAAAATTCCCGTCTGGGATTATCCCACGGCCGAAAGTCGGGGTGGAATTCCGTGGGTTGTGTGCTGGACACCCCCAAATCCCGTTTATCCCTGGGATTCTGGAATTCCTGCTCTTTTCCAGAGGAATTTACATCTCTTTTTCCAAAGGGTCTCCTGTATGTTATTTTATTCCCCGTAATCCGTGGATCTAGGGGATCCCAATCCTCAAAAAATGGGGGAAAATCCGGGTAGGAAAGGAGGAAAATCCGGGTGGGAAAGGAGGAAAATTCCAGGTGGGAAAGGAGGAAAATTCCAAGTGGGAAAGGAGGAAAATTCCAGGTGGGAAAGGGGGAAAATCCAGGTGGGAAAGAAGGAAAATCCGGGTGGGAAAGGAGGAAAATTCCCGAGGGAAAAGAGGAAAATTCCAGGTGGGAAAGGAGGAAAATCCAGGTGGGAAAGGGGGAAAATCCAGGTGGGAAAGGAGGAAAACTCCAGCTGGGAAAGGAAGAAAATCCAGGTGGGAAAGGAGGAAAATCGAGGTGGGAAAATCAGGAAAATTCCAGATGGGAATCCAGATGGGAAAGGAAAAAAATCCAGATGAGAAAGGAGGAAAATTCCAGGCGGGAAAGGGGGAAAATTCCAGGTGGGAAAGGAAGAAAATCCAGCTGGGAAAGGAAGAAAATTCTGGGTAGGAAAGGAGGAAAATCCGGGTGGGAAAGGAGGAAAATTCCAGATGGGAAAGGAAGAAAATTCCAGCTGGGAAAGGAGGAAAATTCCGGGTGGGAAAGGAGGAAAATCCAGATGGGAAAGGAAAAAAATCCAGGTGGGAAAGGAGGAAAATTCCAGATGGGAAAGGAGGAAAATCCGGGTGGGAAAGGAGGAAAATCCAGGTAGGAAAGGAGGAAAATTCCAGGTGGGAAAGGGGGAAAATTCCAGGTGGGAAAGGAGGAAAATTCCAGGTGGGAAAGGAGGAAAATCCGGGTGGGAAAGGAGGAAAATTCCAGGTGGGAAAGGAGGAAAATTCCAGGTGGGAAAGGAGGAAAATCCAGGTGGGAAAGGAGGAAAATCCGGGTGGGAAAGGAAGAAAATCCAGGTGGGAAAGGGGGAAAATCCAGGTGGGAAAGGAGGAAAATTCCAGGTGGGAAAGGAAAATCCAGGTGGGAAAGGAGGAAAACTCCAGCTGGGAAAGGAAGAAAATCCAGGTGGGAAAGGAGGAAAATCGAGGTGGGAAAATCAGGAAAATTCCAGATGGGAAAGGAGGAAAATTCCAGGTGGGAAAGGAGGAAAATCCGGGTGGGAAAGGAGGAAAATAAAGGTGGGAAAGCAGGAAAATTTCAGATGGGAAAGGAAGAAAATTCCAGGTGGGAAAGGGGGAAAATTCCAGGTGGGAAAGGAGGAAAATTCCAGGTGGGAAAGGAGGAAAATTCCGGGTGGGAAAGGAGGAAAATTCCAGGTGGGAAAGGAGGAAAATCCAGGTGGGAAAGGAGGAAAATTCCGGGTGGGAAAGGAGGAAAATTCCAGGTGGGAAAGGAAGAAAATCCAGCTGGGAAAGGAGGAAAATTCTGGGTAGGAAAGGAGGAAAATCCGGGTGGGAAAGGAGGAAAATTCCAGGTGGGAAAGGAAGAAAATCCAGATGAGAAAGGAGGAAAATCCAGGTGGGAAAGGAGGAAAATTGAGGTGAGTGGAATGAAATTCCAGGTGGGGGTGGGGAAACGGAGTTGAGGGGCTGGGAATTCCGGGTGGGAAGGAAATTCCAGGTGGGAAAGGGCTCACCTGGTACACCTGGTCCGTGGTGCTGTTCTTCTTCACCCTGACCGTCACCGTGGTGACGTCCGGGAGCGCCACCCGCAGCTCCACGTCGGAGACGCCGTTGTAATTCTGGGAAAATTCCCCCAAAAAAATCAGGGAATGCCGCTTTTCCAGAGATCCCTTCAAATCCCCCGGAGGGGTGGGAGGAGGGATGGGGTTGGATTCTTCTCCTGAGGGAGAGGATGAGGCTCCTGCTGGGATATTTGGGAAATTCCCCCATGGAATTTGGGGTTTGGAGGAATTTTGGGAGCTCGGGGTGCCTCAATCCCATAAAAAACGGTTGGAATTGTCCCAAAATCCACGGATGTGGCACCTGGGGACACGGAGCAGGGGACAGATGGAGCTCCAAGGGTTTTTCCAGCTTTGGCCATTCCATGGAAGCTTTTGGGGGTTTCTTCCATGGAATTCTGTTGGACCAAGCCTCAATCCCATAAAAAACGGTTGGAATTGTCCCAAAACCCACGGATGTGGCACCTGGGGACACGGAAGGGGGTGGCCTTGGGGACAATGTGAGGAGCTCCAAGGGGTTTTCCAACCTCGGTGATTCCATGATTCCGTGGGGTTTTTTTCCATGGAATTCTGTGGGACCAAGCCTCAATCCCACCAAAAACCGTTGGAATTGTCCCAAAACCCATGGATGTGGCACTTGGGGACAGGGATCAGGGGTGGCCTTGGGGACAGTTGGGCAGGAGGGGTTTTCCCACCTTGGCGATTCCATGGAAGAGTTTTTTCCATGGAATTCCGCGGGATGACGTCACCCACCTCGTCCGACTCCGACAGGAATTCCTGCATGATGTCGCTCTCGCCGATGACCCGGATGGAGCACACTGCGGGACACACGGAATGTCACCGGGAATGTCACCGGGAATGTCACCGGGAATGTCACCGGGAATGGCACCGGGAATGTCACCGGGAATGTCATTGGGAATGTCGCCAGGAATGTCATTGGGAATGGCACCGGGAATGTCACCGGGAATGGCATTGGGAATGTCACCGGGAATGGCACCGGGAATGTCACCGGGAATGGCACCAGGAGGGCGCTGGGAATGTCATTGGGAATGGCACCGGGAATGTCACCGGGAATGTCACTGGGAATGGCACCGGGAATGGCACCGGGAATGGCACCGGGAATGTCATTGGGAATGGCACCGGGAACGTCACTGGGAATGTCAGTGGGAATGGCACCGGGAGGACACACGGAATGTCACCGGGAACGTCACCAGGAATGTCACCGGGAATGTCACCGGGAATGTCACCGGGAATGTCACCGGAAATGTCACTGGGAACGTCACCGGGAACGTCATTGGGAATGGCACCGGAAATGTCACCGGGAACGTCACCGGGAATGTCACCGGGAATGTCACCGGGAATGTCATTGGGAATGGCACCGGGAATGGCACCGGGAATGGCATTGGGAATGTCACCGGGAATGGCACCGGGAATGTCATTGGGAATGGCACCAGGAGGGCGCTGGGAATGTCATTGGGAATGGCACCGGGAATGTCACCGGGAATGTCATTGGGAATGGCACCGGGAATGGCACCGGGAATGTCACTGGGAATGGCACCGGGAATGGCACCGGGAATGGCACCGGGAATGGCATTGGGAATGGCACTGGGAATGTCACCAGGATCTGCAGGAATGGCCCCTCCAGGACATCCCAGCAACCCCTTCCCGTCATCCCAACCCATCCCGAGGGAATTCCTGCACCTGGGTCACCTCCTGTGACCTGTCCTGTGTCCCCTCCTGTCCCCAGTGTCCCCCCAGTGTCCCCCCAGTGTCCCCAGTGTCCCTGTCTCCCTGCCATGTCCCCCTGTCCCTCCATGGATCCCGACCCTCTCCAAGGAGGATCCCGGGAGCTCCAGCCCAGAACCCCCAGGGAGCCGAGCCCGAACACCCTGGGGAACCCCGGGATAGCCCGGGAATGCCGGGGAGGGGCCTGGGATGAGGAGGGGCCTGGGATGAGGGATTTGGGATGAGGAGGGGTTTTGGGGTGAGGAGGGGTTTTGGGATGAGGTGTTATTTGGGCTGAGGGATTTTGGGATGAGGAGGGGTTTTGGGATGAGGAGGGGTTTTGGGATGAGGAGGGATTTTGGGGTGAGGAGGGATTTTGGGGTGAGGAGTTATTTGGGATGAGGGATTTGGGATGAGGAAGGGATTTTGGGATGAGAGTTTTTGGGACGAGGGATTTTGGGGTGAGGAGGGATTTTGGGATGAGGAGGGATTTTGGGATGAAGGATTTCGGGATGAGGGACTTTGGGGCAAGGATGGATTGTGGGCTGAGGGATTTTGGGATGAGGAGGGATTTTGAATCCTGGGATTCTGGGATGAGGAGGGATTTTGAATCCCGCGATTCTGGGATAAGGAAGGATTGTGAATCCTGGGATGAAGAAGGGTTATTGAATCCCGGGATTCTGGGATGAGGAAGTATTGTGAATCCTGTAATTCTGGGATAAGGAAGGATTTTGAAACCCGGGATTCTGGGATGAGGAGGGATTTTGAATCCCAGGATGAGGAAGGATTATTGAATCCCGTAATTCTGGGATAAGGAAGGACTGTGAATCCCGTAATTCTGGGATGAGGAAGGATTGTGAATCCCAGGATAAGGAAGGATTGTGAATCCCAGGATTCCGGTATGAGGAAGGATTTTGAATCCCAGGATGAGGAAGGATTATTGAATCCTGTAATTCCGGGATGAGGAAGGATTATTGAATCCCGTAATTCTGGGATAAGGAAGGATTGTGAATCCCGGAATTCTGGGATGAGGAAGGATTCTGAATCCCAGGATAAGGAAGGATTGTGAATCCCAGGATTCCGGGATAAGGAAGGATTGTGAATCCCAGGATTCCGGGATAAGGAAGGACTGTGAATCCCGGGATTCTGGGATAAGGAAGGATTGTGAATCCTGTAATTCCGGGATAAGGAAGGATTGCTAATCCCGTAATTCTGGGATAAGGAAGGACTGTGAATCCCAGGATTCCGGGATAAGGAAGGATTATTGAATCCTGTAATTCCGGGATAAGGAAGGATTGTGAATCCCGGGATTCCGGGATAAGGAAGGACTGTGAATCCCAGGATTCCGGGATAAGGAAGGATTGTGAATCCCAGGATTCTGGGATAAGGAAGGACTGTGAATCCTGTAATCCCGGGATAAGGAAGGACTGTGAATCCCAAAATTCCGGGATGAGGAAGGACTGTGAATCCCGGAATTCCGGGATGAGGAAGCATTCCAGGCAGGCTCCATACCCTTCTCCAGGTACTCCTCCAGGCCCCTCCTGCGGGCGTCCAGCTGCTGCTCGGACAGCGAGAACGGCCACTTCCCGGGGAGGCGCGGGAAGGTGAAATTGGCGAATTCCCGCTTCAGGTTCTGGTGCAGGATGGCAAATTCCCGGTAGCGCTTGGAGCACAGCTGCCGCCCGGCCATGTACACGTTGTACACCTGGAAAACAGCCCCAAAAATTCCCAAAAATCCCACTCGGATCAGGAGAGGGGTTTGGGGGAAAGAGGGAAATGAGGCTGGAGCTGCGGGAGGGCACTGCTGGTCGCGGTATTCCAGAATGGCAAATCTTGGGATTCAGGATTCTGGACACTTCCCATGGGACACTGAGAGATCCCAAACTCCCCATTTCCCATAAAAAACTCAGGATTCAGGATTGTGGATACTTCCCATGGAATGCAGAGATCCCAAGCTCCTCATGTGCCATCCAAATCTTGGGATTCAGGATCGTGGATACTTCCCATGGAATGCAGAGATCCCAAACTCCCCATTTCCCATCCAAAACTCGGGATTCAGGATTGTGGATACTTCCCATGGGACACTGAGAGATCCCAAACTTCCCATTTCCCACCCAGAGCCCCAAATCTTGGGATTTAAGTTCCTGGTTCCTTCCCATGGAATGCAGAGATCCCAAACTTCCCATTTCCCATAAAAAACTCGGGATTCAGGATTGTGGATATTTCCCATGGAATGCAGAGATCCCAAACTCCCCATTTCCCATCCAAAACTCAGGATTCAGGATTGTGGATATTTCCCATGGAATGCAGAGAGATCCCAAACTTCGCATTTCCCATAAAAAACTCGGGATTCAGGATTGTGGACACTTCCCATGGAATGCAGAGATCCCAAACTCCCCATTTCCCATCCAAAACTCGGGATTCAGGATCGTGGATACTTCCCATGGAATGCAGAGAGATCCCAAACTCCCCATTTCCCATCCAAATCTTGGGATTCAGGATCGTGGATACTTCCCATGGAATGCAGAGATCCCAAACTCCTCATGTTCCATCCAAAACTCGGGATTCAGGATTGTGGATATTTCCCATGGAATGCAGAGATCCCAAACTTCCCATTTCCCATAAAAAACTCGGGATTCAGGATCATGGATACTTCCCATGAGACACTGAGAGATCCCAAACTCCCCGTTTCCCATCCAAATCTTGGGATTTAAGTTCCTGGTTCCTTCCCATGGAATGCAGAGATCCCAAACTCCTCATGTTCCATCCAAAACTCGGGATTCAGGATTGTGGATACTTCCCACGGGACACTGAGAGATCCCAAACTTCCCATTTCCCATAAAAAACTCGGGATTCAGGATTGTGGATATTTCCCATGGAATGCAGAGATCCCAAACTTCCCATTTCCCATAAAAAACTCGGGATTCAGGATTGTGGATATTTCCCATGGAATGCAGAGATCCCAAACTTCCCATTTCCCATAAAAAACTCGGGATTCAGGATCATGGATACTTCCCATGAGACACTGAGAGATCCCAAACTCCCCGTTTCCCATCCAAATCTTGGGATTTAAGTTCCTGGTTCCTTCCCATGGAATGCAGAGATCCCAAACTCCTCATGTTCCATCCAAAACTCGGGATTCAGGATCGTGGACACTTCCCACGGGACACAGAGAGATCCCAAACTTCCCATTTCCCATCCAAAACTCGGGATTCAGGATCATGGATACTTCCCATGGGACACTGAGAGATCCCAAACTCCCCATTTCCCATCCAAAACTCCAAAACTTGGGATTCAGGATCGTGGATTTTGGGGAAAACCCTGCTATTTTGAGGAAGAATCCAGATATTTAGGGAAAAACCCCACTTTTTTTTGGGAAAACCTTGGTTTTTTGGGGAAAAACCTACTAATTTGAGGAAAAATCCAGATATTTAGGGAAAACCCCTATGTTTTGGGGGGAAAACCCTGCATTTTTGGAGAAAATACTGCTTTTTTGGGGAAGAATCCAGATATTTAGGGAAAAGTCCTGCTTTTTTGGGAAAAACCCTGCTTTTTGGTGGGAAAACACTGCTATTTTGGGGAAAATCCTGCTATTTTGAGGAAGAATCCAGACATTTAGGGGAAAAACCCACTTTTTTAGGGAAAACCCTGCTTTTTGTGAGGAAAACCTGGCTTTTTTGGGGAAAATACTGCTTTTTTGGAGAGAAAACTGCTATTTTGGGGAAAATTCTGCTATTTTGAGGAATAATCCAGATATTTAGGGAAAAACCCTGGGGTTGTTTTTTTGGGAAAACCCTGCTTTTTTGGGGGGAAAATCCCTGATGTTTAGGGAAAACCTCTGCTTTTTTGAGGAAGAATCCAGATATTTAGGGGAAAACCCCACTTTTTTAGGGAAAACCGTGCTTTTTTGGGGGGGAAACTGCTATTTTGGGGAAAACCCCACTTTTTTGAGGAAAAATCCAGATATTGCTATTTTGGGGAAAACCCCACTTTTTTGAGGAAAAATCCAGATATTTAAGGAAAACCCCTGCCTTTTTGGGGAAAAACCTACCTATTTGAGGAAAAACCCTGCAGTTGTGTGGAAAATCCTCCTATTTATAGCAAACCCCCACGATTTTAGGGCACACCCTGCTATTTACTACCAACAACCGCCACAAACAAACAAAACCCCTTGGGAAATCCCCCAAATCCGTGGATTTTCCCCCCATTCCCGAGGGGAAAAAGCCTCACCACGAACTTCTCTCCGCTCTGCTCCACGTGTTTGTAGGTGGGGATGGAGATGGGCACCGCCTGTTTCTCGCTGTAGTCGTAGAAGGGCGGCCCCAGCGGCTCCTCGGGAGGCTCCAGGCTCTCGGCCTCGTGTGGCGGCACCGAGAGCACCGTGAGCACCAGCTCCTTCTCCCCGGCGCGGATCAGATCCACCACCTGCTTGTGCGTGGCTCCTTCCACGTTCACGCCGTTCCTAAAGGGGAAAATATCCCAGATTCCCATGGATCACATCCATCACCTGTTTATTGGGGCTCCTTCCACGTTCACCCCATTCCAAAACGGAAAATATCCCAAATTTTCATGGATCACATCCACCACCTGCCAAATTTTCATGGATCACATCCACCACCTGCTTACTGGGGCTCCTTCCATATTCACACTGTTCCTGAAGGGAAAATATTCCAAATTCCCATGGATCACATCCATCACCTGCTTATGAGGGAACCTTGCATGTTCACCCTGTTCCTAAAGGGAAAATATCCCAAATTCCCGTGGATCAGATCCATCACCTGCTTAAAGGGAAAATATCCCAAATTCCCGTGGATCAGATCCATCACCTGCTTATTGGGGCTCCTTCCACATTAACACTGTTCCTAAAGGGGAAGATATCCCAAATTCTCATGGATCAGATCCACCACCTGCTTATGAGGGAACCTTCAACATTCACCCTGTTCCTGCATGGAAAAATATCCCAAATTCCCATGGATCACATCCACCACCTGCTTGTGCATGGCTCCCTAAACATTCACCCCATTCCTAAAGGGAAAATATTCCAAATTCCCATGGATCACATCCATCACCTGCTTACTGGGGCTCCTTCAACAGTCACCCCATTCCTAAACGGCAAAATATTCCAAATTCCCATGGGTCAGATCTACCACCTGCTTATTGGGGCTCCATCCATGTTCACACCGTTCCTAAAGGGAAAATATCCCAGATTTTCATGGATCACATCCATCACCTGTTTATTGGGGGATGTTCAACATTCACCCCATTCCTAAAGAGAAAAATATCCCAAATTCCCATGGATCAGATCCACCACCTGCTTACTGGGGCTCCTTCATCATTCACCCCATTTCTAAACGGAAAATATCCCAAATTTTCATGGATCACATCCACCACCTGCTTATGAGGGAACCTTCCATGTTTGCCCTGTTCCTTAAGGGGAAAATATCCCAAATTCCCATGGAAGTGCTGAGGACATTCCCAAGCCACCTCCAGAGAACATATCCCAAATTCCCATGGAAGTGCTGAGGACATTCCCAAGCCACCTCCAGAGAACATTCCTGACATTCCCAACAGCCCCACAGCCTGGATCTGGCTTTGCCCAGCAAATCTGGACCCAACCTTGCTCAGGAAAACTCATCCCAATCCATCCCAAACCTCCCAGAATCCCATGGGAACACTGAAGATTCCTGGATATTCCAAGAACCCCGGGGCACGGATCTGGATTTGCCTGGAAAATCCTGATCACACCTGCTCAGGAAAGCTCATCCCAATCTGCTCCAAACTTCCTGGAATCCCATGGAAGCACTTTAGACCAAAAACTCTCCCAAACAACTTCTGGAACATTCCTGATATTCCATCTGGCTTTGCCCAAAAAACCTGGATCACACCTTGGCCAAGCTGCCCAGGAAAACTCATCCCAAGGAATCCCAAAATATTCCCGAGAGCTCCACGGCCTGGATCTGCCCAGAAAACCTGGATCACATCAGCTCAGGAAAACTCATCCCAAGCAATCCCAAAATATTCCCGAGAGCTCCATGGCCTGGATCTGCCCAGAAAACCTGGATCACATCAGCTCAGGAAAACTCATCCCAAGAAATCCCAAAATATTCCCGAGAGCTCCATGGCCTGGATCTGGCTTTGCCCAGAAAACATGGATCAAACCTGCCCTGGAAAACTCATCCCAAGCAGCTCCAAACTTCCCAGAAACAGCGGAAAATCCCATGGAAACACAGCAAATATTCCCAAGCCACCTCTAGAACGTTCCTGACATTCCCAAGAATCTCCTGGAAGGGATCCAGCTTTTCCCAAAGAATCTGGATCACGCCTTGGCCAAGCTGCCCAGGAAAACTCATCCCGGTGAATCCCAAAGCTCCCGAAATCCCAAGACATTCCCGAGCTGCCTCGGACACGAGGGATCCGTTCCACAAAAGTTGTTTGGAATTTCTCGTCGCAGTGATGTCGCCACAATCCCGATTCCCACCGAGGAATTTCTCCACTGAAAAACCTGGAATTGCCCTGGAATTCCGTGCTGCTCCCAGGATCCAGAGTGGGATTTGGCCATCAATCCCCAGCTCTTGAAGGGAAGGGAACAGCTTATTTTGGGATGAGAGTTTTTGGGATGAGAGATTTTGGGATGAGGGATTTTGGGATGAGGAGGGATTTTGGGGGATTTTTCCATTTTTATGGAATTTTTCCTTACAGGAATCACCCTGGAAAGGTCAGATCTCTGCTTACAAACCCAGGTTTGAAAATTCCAACTTTTCCAAGAGCTGGAAAAGTTTCCTCTGGCTCCAACACCACCCAAAGCCATCCAAACCCGTTGGAGCTTCCGAACCATTCCAGGGAAAAGGGATAATGGAGCACTCGGAGGGGCAGCACCCAGAATTCCCAAAAAGGCATCACTCCATTCCCAAAAATGCTGGCTCCCAGAGGGTGTTCCTGAGCTCGGATGCTTCCCTGCTGGTGTCTCCAAGGAGCAGGAGTCAGAACTTTGGGATAAATCACCATGGCAACCGAGGCCGGAATCCAGGAATGTTAAATCCAGGATCCGCGGGATCCAGGAGCCTCTTCCCAAGGAAAAGGAACTCTGGGATGTTTTGCTCCTCAAGCTTCTGGCTCTGTCTGGAGCTGGAAAATGGATCCAGGCATTGCTGGGATCCTTCAGGGAATCCAGGGAATGCGAGGTCCCTCCAGAAAGGACATCGAGATCCAAGGGATCCTTCCCGCTGGGAAAGCGGATCCGCAGCCTCTTCCGTGGGGTGGGAAATGGACCTGAGCCATTCCCAGCAGCATTCCAGGAACAATTTCTCCCAATAAATCCCTTCTTTGGGAATGTGGAAAGGTTCCACCTGCAGTAGGAGGTACCGGCACATCCCGCTGCAGGATGGGGGAGCCTCCTTCCCCTTCAATCCAGAGGGATTCAGTGGGGCTGGAGTTTGGATTTCTCATGGAATTCCTCTCCCAGGGGCTCCCAAGTGTTCCCACCACTCCTTTTCCAGGGAGCTGGGAAGAAGCTCCTCAGCCCAGCGCGATATTCCCTGGATGCATCGGAGGCAGTGGAAAACATCTCATCCACTGGGCTGGGATCTGGGAATCTTCCATCAGGAAGAGCAGGAGCTGCTGGCAACAGACAGGAGATCCTGGGATCTGGGAATCTTCCATCAGGAAGAGCGGGAGCTGCTGGAAACAAGACAGGAGATCCTGGGATCTGGGAATCTTCCATCAGGAAGAGCAGGAGCTGCTGGCAACAGACAGGAGATCCTGGGATCTGGGAATCTTCCATCAGGAAGAGCAGGAGCTGCTGGCAACAGACAGGAGATCCTGGGATCTGGGAATTTTCCGCTGGGAAGAGCAGGAGCTGCTGGAAAAGCCTGAGGACGAAGCAGAATTCCCATCACGCTGACACGGATGAGCAAGGGCCCCATGGCACGGAAAACATTCCGGGGTTCCTGTTCCGACTGGGATTGAGTCATTTTCCACCAGGACTTTGGAAAATTCCCTGACCTGGGGCCTGTCAGGGGAATTCACTGTGAGGAGCTGGGCAAGGAGCATCCTGGAGATGGAGATCCTCGGGATTGGATTGCTGAAGGATCCGAGAAATTCCAGAGGGAAGGGAAGGGATGGGGAAAGGGAGGAATGGGAAAAGGAAGAGGAATCAGCTAGTGATCAGAAGGATTTTAGCTCCCACTTCCTAAATTTTCCAAGAAGATCCCCCCTCAGAGCCTCTGGACAAGGAAATTCCCGCTGCCATTCCCGGGGTGAGTTCCCAGCAGCGAGCAGAACACCGGGAATGTGCCGAGCCAGCAGCTCTGGCACTGAGACCGTTCCGGACTTTTCCAGGGCAGAGCCGGCTCTTTCCATCCCATAAAACAGGAATTGAGCCCATGGAGACAGGGAGAGTCCAATCTCCTCAGGGAAAAGCCTTCGGCCTCGCACACGGATGTCGGGAAGACGCCGATTCCGAGGGTTATTCCAGCAAAACCTGACGCCTTCCCAGGGCTGCGCCTGTTCCAGACGTTTCCCTGAGTCTGGTGGGATCCAGGATCCCCCAGCCCACCCAAATCTGGCTGTTTTCCCGCTCAGGGCCAGGATAAATCGTATTTTTTCTCTATTCCGTCCTTTCCAGAGCTTCTCTTCCCGGTGGATTGGTGATGATGGAGATCCCGGCACTAATCAGGAGCTCAATTAGCTCCCCTTGTCTGTCTCGGTGCCCCTGGAGATTCCGGAGCATTCCAGAGCCTCGGGATGACACAGGGATTTGCTGGGGGCTGGATCCGGGAGGGAGGGATGGGAAAAGGACCCGGAGCGGGCGCAGGAGCATCCAGGCGGCACCTGGAGCATCCCTTGGTGTGGGATGAGGATCGGGAAGAGTGTTTTTTTCCATGGGAAAAACGCTGGGATTGGTCATCTCCGGGGTTTTCCGGGATAGGGATGAGCTGTGGGGTGCCAGAGCCACAGGTGAGCGCCCACATCCCAAAGATCCCCCACAGATCCCAGCGGGAATTCCTCGGCGCTGGAACAACCTCCTCGCTCGGGCTCTTCCTCCCCAGAAATTCCCCTCCTCGGAGCCGATCCGCTGGGAATTCCAGGAGGTGGGAAGGCAATCCTGCATGGAATAAACACCCTGAACATCCCAAATCCAGCCAGGCGGCTCCTCCCGGAGCTCCAGGGCCTGGATTTTGGGGAGTTCCCTCCGGAGGAACCGGGATGGCCGGGAGAGCGGATGGGCCCCCCCCGTTTCCCGCCCTGTTCCCGGTGAAAGGAAGGGAAATCGGAGCTATTTTGGGAATCCTGGGTTATTGTTTCCTCCTCCGGCCGCGGCGCCGCCGTGCGATTCCAGGAGTTGGGATTTTAACGGATCCGAGGAAAATCAGGGTGCCCCGGGGGGGGTTCTGTGCTGCTGGAACGGAGTCTGGGATTTTGGGGCGGTTTCTGTAGCAAAAGATGGGAATGCTGGAATATGGGAATTCGGTCGTGTTGGAATATAGGAAAATATTGGAATATAGGGATGTTGAATTATGGGAATATGGAATATAGGGAAACAGGAATACAGCAGTGTTGGAATAGCGGGA